AGCAGCAATTCTGGGTTGGGCCTCCGGTTAATAGGTTAGTCCCAAAAATAATATAAAAGTGGATAATAAAGCCCAATAATGTCCAATAACAGTAGATAATATAGCCTGGAGCGATCAAAAATTATAGATATGTTGGAGACGTATCAACCCTTTCCAGAGATTATGTGTAAATCATTGACCATAGCAAGTACGTGATCACCGGTACGCATGGCGGACTTCTTCCGGTGATCTGCCTCGCCTTTGAAATGCTTGCCTTTCTTTCGACATTGATGGTTGGTCGGAAGAAATCGACGATGGCCCAGGTACACATTCTTCCTGCATTTGTCCAGGTGTATACTTTCAATTTCATCTAAACAGTGCGTGCATGCGTGGTATCCCTTGTTTGTCTGTTCTGAAAGGTTACTGAGAGCGGGCCAATCGTTGATGGTTACAAACAGCAACGCGTGCAGGTTAAATTCCTCCTGTTTGTGCTCATCCCACATACGTACACCATTTCCATTCCACAGCTGTAAAAGTTCTTCAACTAATGGCCTTAGGAACACATCAATGTCGTTGCCGGGTTGCTTAGGGCCTTGGATGAGAACTGGCATCATAATGAACTTCCGCTTCATGCACATCCAAGGAGGAAGGTTATACATACATAGAGTCACGGGTCAGGTGCTATGATTGCTGCTCTGCTCCCCGAAAGGATTAATGCCATCCGCGCTTAAACCAAACCATACATTCCTTGGGTCACTTGCAAACTCAGGCCAGTACTTTCTCTCGATTTTTCTCCACTGCGACCCGTCAGCGGGTGCTCTCAACTTCCCGTCTTTCTTACGGTCCTCATTGTGCCATCGCATAAACTTGGCATGCTCTTCGTTTCTGAACAGACGTTTCAACCGTGGTATTATAGGAGCATACCACATCACCTTCGCAGGAACCCTCTTCTTGGGGGGCTCGCCGTCAACATCACCAGGGTCATCTCGTCTGATCTTATACCGCAATGCACTGCATACAGGGCATGCGTTCAGATCCTTGTACGCACCGCGGTAGAGGATGCAGTCATTAGGGCATGCATGTATCTTCTGCATCTCCAATCCTAGAGGGCATACGACCTTCTTTGTTGCGTATGTACTGTCGGGCAATTCGTTATCCTTTGGAAGCTTCTTCTTCAATATTTGCAGTAGCTTCTCAAATCCTTTGTCAGGCACAATATTCTCTGCCTTCCACTGCAGCAATTCCAGTACGATACCGAGCTTTGTGTTGCCATCTTCGCAATTGGGGTACAACCCTTTTTTGTGATCCTCTAACATGCGATCGAACTTCAGCTTCTCCTTTTGACTTTCCAATTGCGTCCTTGCATCGACAATGACCCGGCAGAGATCATCATCATCGGGCACATCGTCTGGTTCCTCTTGATCTTCAGCAGCTTCCCCCGTTGCAGCATCATTGGGCACATCGTCTGGTTCCTCTTGATCTTCAGCAGCTTCCCCCGTTGCAGCATCACCGTATTCAGGGGGCATATAGTTGTCATCGTCCTCTTCTTCTTCGCCGTCTTCCATCATAAGCCCTATTTCTCCGTGCCTCGTCCAAACATTATAGTGTGGCATGAAACCCTTGTAAAGCAGGTGGGTGTGAAGGATTTTCCGGTCAGAGTAAGACTTCGTATTCCCACATTTAGGGCATGGACAACACATAAAACCATTCTGCTTGTTTGCCTCAGCCACTTCGAGAAAATCATGCAAGCCTTTAATGTACTCGGAGGTGTGTCTGTCACCGTACATCCATTGCCGGTTCATCTGCGTGCATTATATATAATTAAGTGTGTCAAAACCATTACAGAACATCATGAATAGATAATTAAGTGACCAAATTAATAGAAGTTCATCATCACATTAAAACCAAAGTACATACATAGTTCTCATCTAACAACATATAGCTCTCCAGAGCATCTAATTAATTAAACCATACATTAAAACTATGTAAAACATTTCAATGCGAAAACAAATGCGATCATAATCGCAACCAAGGTAACAATTGATCCAACGGCATAATGATATCAAGCCTCGGTATGAATGACATATTTTCTAATCTTTCTAATCTTCAAGCGTATTGCATCCATCTTGATCTTGTGATCATCAACGACATCCGCAACATGCAACTCCAATATCATCTTCTTCTCCTCAATTTTTTTTATTTTTTTCCTTCAAGTAATTGTTTTCTTCTTCAACTAAATTTAACCTCTCGACAATAGGGTCGGTTGGAATTTCTGGTTCAACTACCTCCTACATAAATAAAATCTATGTCACGTTGGTCGGCATAATTGTCATAAACAATAAATGAACCAAATAGTTATAGAAAGATAATATATACCACATCCGAATCATAGACAGGACGAGGGCCGACGGGGGGCGAATACCAAAACCATCACACTATATAATAACAAGCAATAAAATAGTAAGAAAATTAGACAAGTATCTATCTAAAGTAAGAATTTTTTTCAGAAAGAAGATAAGAACAAGAGGCTCACCACGGTGGTGCCGGCGACGAGATCGGCGCGTGCGATCGACGGCGGTGAAGACGGGAATGGGACGTGACGGGCCGCTAAACCTAGAAAAATCTCGAGGAAAATGGAGCTTTGAGGTCGAGCTTCGAGAGGAGAAAGCTTAACTAGTGTGGCTCGGGCATTTCATCGAACACCTCATGTGCATAGGAGGTGAGCTAGAGCACCACAAAGCCCTTCCCTCGCCGGCCAGAGAAAAATAGAGCACTGGAGTGCTCTGCTCGCGGGCGAGGGGTATATATAGGCACCTCATTGGTCCCGGTTCGTGGCATGAACTGGGACTAAAAGGCAGCCTGTGGTCCCGGTTCAAGCCACCAACCGGGACCAATGGTGGTGGGCCAGGAGCGAGCCCCATTGGTGCCGGTTCGTCCCACCAACCGGGACCAAAGGGGCCAGACGAACCGGGACCAATGCCCCCACGAGGCCTGGCAGGCCCCTGGCCTCACGAACCGGGACCAATGCCCCCATGGGTCCCGGTTCTGGACTGAACCGGGACTAATGGGCTGACCTGGCCTGAACCAAAGCTCTCTTTTCTACTAGTGCATGGTGTCCTTCTTGAGGCCGATGCCATGCACATCCTTGCGGAGGTCATCGACTTCACCCCGCAGCTCTGCGGTTTCGTCGCGGTGCTGCAGAAATTCGCCCTTCATGGCCAGGAGTTCGGCGATTTCCGACTCGTCGAGACTGGCCTTGCCGCGCCCCATCTTGGCTGAGTAGTTCAGAAGGGAATTTTACCCCCAGGACTTGCCCGGGAACCGGATCTGAATACTCAACCCTGCCGCCGCCGCTCGAGATCGCCACCAGAACAGCACCACACGCCGCCGACCTGGGATTTTACCGAGTGAGCGATTTGCTCAAACAACCAGTCAAGCTCGACGCGCTGCCGGCGAATGGGTCTACCGCCACCAGCGCCACCTACACCGCCGCCAACGCCATCGACACCGTCGCCGTCGACGAAAGAGGGAGGGAAGGGTGGGAAATCACCGTTGCAGCTTCGATCTGCTGCGTCGCCGAGGAAAAACTTCGCTCTGATACCAATTGTCACACCCTAATTTGAGAAATTGGGGAGGATTCGATATAGATCACACGAACAGGAGGGGAAAGTAGGCACCCGCTAGGGTTTTCTGTATTGCTATAAGATATATGTTTGAGTAATGAAATGGTATCATGAATAAACGATGCCTTACAAGACCTTGGGTGCGAGCTTTATAACCCAGCTGGCACAGGTGACGGCTACAGTGGCGTGGATGAAACGCTACAGGAAACAGCTGAAACGGTACAGTGAGACAGTGAGCATCGCGAGCCGTTCGATCGTCGGGTCGAGGGTGAATCTGGACCGGACGTTAACTGAAGAAGAGATACACTTGTTAACTGAAGATGCGGGGCTGACAGTTCATTACTACTCCTACACAATTCAACTCCTTGCTTGGTGTGCCTGCTCACTATAATCAAAACTAGTACTGTTTAAAACAAATTTTGAGAAATCTGTTTACATACATTTCTTAAAAGCACTAAAAGTACTTTTCACCAAACCTACGAAAGAGGCAGCATTTTCTTTTGCCGCCACTTTCTGACCCTAATAGATTGGCTCCAACGAAAAAGGATATCTGCTACCATGATACGATACGGGTGTCATTTCAAGACGCTACTCCAGTCCAGCCTAGTGCGCAGCTTGAGAGGGTGGTAAATGAAATGATTTGGTCCATGACGGTGCTGTACTGCTGCTAATAGCACCATGATAAAGGCCGTTAGCCTTTGAACCTTTGATCCTTTTCCTTCAATCTATGGAGCCCACGCCGTTTTCTGTCTGGCCTGGATAAAGCCGTTTATCAGGCAAGTTTTAGTTAACCACTACGGGTAACATGCTGAATTATTATCAGGGTCTCACCAACCACAGGCCTGAATTATTTGAAAACCCAATCCGTTCTCCGTTTTCCTCTGTCGCCTGCGCCATGCTGAATTAATTCTGGTTCTGCTCATGGAAAAAGTTGGAAGGCGTGGAAGGACCGCAACATCGTGCACTTAATTTATCCCACTGTCATCAGGACAATAGGTAGACGGACACTGGAATATCTGTTCCCTCTGTCCAAATCTCGAACCCTATTTTTATATATCCGAGAGTCGTGCCCTTCTTCTTCCCCTTATCCTGGGGTCACGGCGATGTTTTTTTTTATCGATCCTTTCGCGATGTTCAGCAGTGGTAACACAAGGGATTTGTTCAGAATGAGCATAGATGAACAATGCAATTCTCACTCACAGGTTCACGCTAGTGAAGAAATGCAGAGATTATTCGACGTATATATATATAGTTAATCCATGGTACTGTACTTTGTATCAGGAAGGACAAATGGAAGCCCAAAAGCAAGAAATGGATCGAATGGGACCGATCCATCTATGAACGAATCGATGGACAAAGAAAGAAAGAAAACTGAAATTATCTACTAGCAACAGATGTTCAAGCGGCATCATTTTCACCGGCACTGGCAGCATTCAGATCCACGGAAAGATCAAGTTCCTGCATTGTAACAGCGCAAATTGTTGAGTTTTCCAGTCAGATCTTCCTTTGGTCTTTTAATCGGCTATTATTCAGTATTGGAAATATTGACGTTTTGAATGAAAAGAAATCTAGCTCAATTACCTTTCCAGTGATCTTGCTGTACAAGGCGAGCACATCCTTCACCGTTGTCTCAAAATGGGTGGTCGCGTCGTAGCTCTGTAAAAACCAACGAATTAAGAACAATCCTGCAGTGTTGTCGAGTGAGTAAACTATGGTTGCTTCAGCTTACAGTTGTCAAGAAACAGTTGTCCTCCTCAGCAGCATTAACAGGCTCGTATCGATCGTACATGTCGAAGAACGTCTCCTCCACGGGGCCGAGCAGATCGATCCCGGGTTTCAGCTCGATCTCAGGCTTGTCGGTCTCAGCTTCAGTCGACACAAAGGCGATGAACTTGCCTTTCGGTGCAACGTTGTGAGCGTACGAGCAGCAGAACACGTACCTGCAAAATAATTGTGTCAGGTACTGCTATAGTGCTTTATCTAAGCAAGACAGCTCATGTTTAAAAACAATCATAACAGCGAGAACCAACTGAACAACAGTACACCTTATCTAACTAAGATTGTTTAAAAGTTCGATGGTTTGCTTTCATTTTAAAATTACTTACATGTCTGATTTGCGCTTCAGCTGTTTCTTTGGGAGGATAATCTGCACGGAGTGAGAATCTTTGGTGTCAGGAATGGGATGCTTCATTATGCATATCGCACGCGCCACCCTTCCGACCTTCTTCACCTGTACATTTTTTGAAGGATTTCAAGGTCATATACTACCACAAGCCTGAATCTGAAATGTACCGGTTTGCAAGCCACAGATGTATAAATACCTTGTCAGGCAAGTATGATGGGTCACAAACAACTTTTTTGCATTTTGCCGTCTCCCCTTCGGATGTCACACCAAATGCTTTACCACTCTCATCGAACTCAACCTGCAAACAATTCCAAATATAAGCATCTTTGACTGAAGATTTAGAAAGTAGCATTCCAGTATTTTTGAGTGATGGACTCTCTGGAAATGGATAAAACAGTTACCTTGCATTCTGGTTTGTTAAGCATGTATGTGCCACCATAAACAGCGCTCAGACGAGCAAATGCCTAACAAAACATTCTCAATTTCAGTTGACCAAAGTTGAAACGTATGTGAATTCATGGTAAATTGGCATGGCCATACCTGAGGGAGCTCTCCTAGACCATACAAGGGGTAGATATAAGGTGATCCACCTTGGAAGCGTGCCAATGATTCCGAATACAGCTATTGAAAGAAGACCAATCTGGAGATCAGGTTTTAATTGTCTTTTCCTCCGCAAACCCCAATACATTTATTGTCAAACTATCTGTCATGTCTTAATGTTTTTTGTTTCACCAATTGTATATTTTTAGCTGAAAACTATTCCGCATGACATGACAGATAATTCTTTTTTAAGATAGAAAAGCTATTTATGAACTCACGTGGAACTTTCCAATGCAATGTGTTGTAGAAATTGCCACCTAAAACTTTGGTTTAGAAAAATCATCTGATGTGGGGTGAAACCACGTATATATCTTTTGGTGACCAAATTATGCATGTTCTGGTTCAGAAAAATAAGCCTAGAAGTATTGCAAGTTTATAGAAAAACATCAACAGGTCCATCATAATATATGTTCCTATAGTGTATTTACTTGATATTGTAGATGTAAATATTTTTCTCTATAAAGTTAGTGAACTTATAGGCCTTACATTGCGGAACAGAGTATGATACAGAAGTGGCATAACAATCTTTGCCATTTTAAGGTCATTTTCACATGCATGTGCTTAACCTAATGCTTATTAATCTTAATCATACTGAATGAAAAAGGACGGCCACAGAGATGAGAGGACGCGGAATTGGTCCCTAGCAGCAACTTCAATCATGCGCTTACAGAGTTACAGTATATGTCCTCTCTGTAATCTATGCTCCAATATTACGCCTTAGGATATTCTCCTTTTAAGGCAAAAAATAGTTGGCTCGCGACCTTGAAGAAATTCCCAGATGCATAAAGAATTCATCAAGGCATGGTTTTGTGATACTGATCAAAATGTATGCTGACTCCAACAGGCTTGTTTTTTTTCGAAAAGGGAGGCTTGTTTTGTTTAGTAGGTGGAAATGTAGTACCTTCATTCTCTTGACAGTGTCAATTGCGGGCTCATCGAGATAGCTGTCATCGCGGTGAAGTGCCAATGCATGACCAATAAAGTCAATCGTGTCATCCTCCAGTCCATATTTGCTGATCCAAGCAAACATCATCGACGTTGCATTAGGAAATGGTGGCGAAATTCAACTTGGTTTTCTACTTCTTTTTATCACTGAGCAGTAACCCAAATACGGAGTACAACACAAGCCAAAGCAACTTACGAGATGAGTTCCCTCGTCGTGACTTTGTGCAGATTTAGGCCTTCGTGTGACTTCGCGTCATCCTCTTCGTAGTCCTGAACGTAAATGAAGAACTTCCTAGCGCGGCGCTTTTCAAACAATCCCATTAGGTTAGATTTCAAGGCTTCAACATCTGTCGCAGGGACTTTGTGGATCTATCATCATTACCAAAGAAGGAAATGTGAATCAGAACACCATGTTACAAAAAATAGTACTCCCTCCGTTCGGAAATACTTGTCCTAGATACAACCATTTCTAAGACAAGTATTTCCGAACGGAGGGAGCACATACTAATGTCAAATTATCTTTAATAGCAGTATCACGTTTGATATCAGATCCATACCTTCCCGTTGTTGTAGACGAAGCTGCCATCGACGGCCTTGAAGTTCAGATACTTTGTCACGCTGGTGCGGATCAAGACACGTACCAATGCACCGTTGGCCATCATGAACTGCAAACTCACATTTTACGGTGATCTGTATAACAGCAGAAGCACAGGAAAGACAAAGGAATTAGAGTTTACAGGCGCCTACAGACCTTGGGCACCATGTCGACGTTGTACTCCTTGCTGACACCCAGATGGTCAGGAGTGGTGTCGCTGCCTTTGAATCTCTTCCAGATCTATAAAGCGAACGGAACGAAACGTAAGACAACATAACTGAAGATTCACGAGAATTTTAAGATCTTTTGTGAATTTTGGAGAACATTTGTGATACATGGTGTTTGCAAGGGTCATGCTAGCGCACCTTGGCCAGATTCAGGGATGTAGATTCTCCACCGTAGTAGTCATTCCTGTCCATGTGAAGAACCTGTAGGTACACAAGGTGCAAAGAGAAATGATAGCTCAGGATAATGTCGCCCTTTGTGAACACTTGGTGATGATGTATCCAGCAACATTTCCAAGGGAACTCGGTGCTCACCTTGAGGCCATCGACGGAGAGGATGCCACTGAGGATGCACTCCTTGAGCCCCGTCCCCAGCACGATCACGTCGTACTCCTCATCCATCGCTCCCTGACAAACCCTTCTTCTCCGATCTACCGGATCTTCCTCTCGCGGCGGTGAGCCTCCTCCACCCCTCGCAGGTTATCTCCCCCTTCTCGGCTCGCCGTGCGTATATATGGAAGGAGCCCGACAAGCGCGCGCGTTCGCACAGGCACCGCATCCATCGGTCGCGGCTCCCGGCGGAGATGTCGTCGAGGCGCGCGGTTGCAGGTCGCAGCGCCCGGCGAGCTCGACGCGTGGCGCGCCGCGCGCCCGTGCTCTCCCCCGTTTCTTCTCTCGCGAGGTGGCGTGGCCCACCGGATTGTACGCCAAAGGCCTGGGCCACTTTCCATCATGTATTTTTAAAACTTTCATAACGTATAAAAATGTTTCTCCGGCGTTAAAAAATGGTCACATGCCTTAAAAAAGGTCAGTGATACTTCACAAAAAAAATATTACGAAATATTCGCCCGGCATTCAAAAATGGTCTGTGCCATTTAAGAAAAAGGTTTTGACATTTAAAAAATGGTTATAAACATATAGAAACACGTTTGCACGTTTAAAAAAAATGGTCATGCCATTTTTGAGAAATGTTCAAACATGTGTTTAGAAATGTTCATTGTTTATTACAAAAATGCTCAATGTGCATTTTACGAAATGTGCAACATGTATTTGGAAAATTATTCAACGTGCATTTGAAAAATAATTAATGTGCATATAAGAAAATTTCAAACTATATACAAGAAGTGTTGAATGCGTAATTTAGATAAATTCAATAAAGTATTTGGAAAATAAAATAGAAAACAAAGAATAGAAAAAACCGAAAGAAAATTGAAAGAAAGCCAATGAAAACCATCACAGAATGGCCGGCCCACTATGGCGTGCACGCACCAACTGCGAGAGGCAAGATGAGGATACATCCTGCAGTAAGCGAGATATATCCCTTGTTTTTTTTTTGAATTTTCACCGGGGGGAGGGGGGGCCTCCACCACCTGAATAGATATATCCCTTGTGATTACTAGTCAATGTGTACGTGCAATGCACGTTAATTTAAAAATATATTATGTGTATGCATATATTTAGTAGGATATTATTTGTGTGCTATTGTCTAATTACCATTATATTTGACATTGAAATTAATTGTACACTAAACGTGTTGAGCGCTCGACATCAAAACAGTCTAGGTCGTTGAATTGACATGATTTGATGACCGAGATTAATTGAATCTGCTCCTTTGGATTTTTTTTATATTGATATAAATAAAGTAGCGAGCTCTAAGCTCGCGTCACTCACACGCTACCGTACATAACCATGGCCCAGCGAGTGCAAGCAGCCACTAGCAAATGAGGGCACACCTTTTTTTCTTCTTCTTTTTTTGTTAATTAAATACCAATTTTCAAAATATTCACAAATATGCAAATATATAGTGAATTTATAAATTTATATGAATTTGTAAACAACGTTCTCGGATTAAAAGTATCTTCACAAATTAAAAATTGTTCGTGAGTTTAAAAATGTTCATGAGTTTGAAACTTTACTCTAATTTTGACAATTTTTATAAATGTTCATAAATTTGAAAAATGGTTGCAAAATTTTAAACTGTCATGAATCTAAAAACCATTTGCCAATTTTAAAAATATTCAAAAATTAGACAAAAAATATGAATTAACAAACAAATTCAAAATTGTGTTGGGGAATTTGAAAAAACACTAAAAAGATGATAAACTGAAAACTAAAAAAGTAGATTAAAAGTAAAAAGTAAAAAGGGGAATAAAAGACACCTTGGAAGCTTTAGTGATGGTGGGAGTGACGGCTGGTTAACGTCGCCGGGGTATTTTCCGTGACAAAAAACGGTTATATGTGACACAAGTGAAGCATCGCAAAATAGAGCAAATTTTGTAGTGCATCATGTATGCTATGATATTTACAAGACGTACGATGGACTTTGGGTTGCCCAAACGTCATATGTAACAGGGTGATTATAACAACAACTTATAGGTTTATTGAAAAATTTGATAAGAGGCTAGATAGCCGAGGAGTGGGATTTGCTCCTTCAACGATGGAGAGATATTCTTAGGCCCATCTTGGTGTGATGGCTGAAGGAAATATGTCCTAGAGGCAAAAATAAAGTTATCATATTTCCTTATATCATGATAAATGTTTATTATTCATGCTAGAATTGTATTAACCGAAAACTTGATACATGTGTGAATACATAGACAAAACAGAGTGTCCCTAGTATGCCTCTACTTGACTAGCTCGTTAATCAAAGATGGTTAAGTTTCCTGACCATAGACATGTGTTGTCATTTGATGAACGGGATCACATCATTAGAGAATAATGTGATGGACTAGACCCATCCGTTAGCTTAGCATAATGATCGTTAAGTTTTATTGCTATTACTGACTTATACATATTCCTTTGACTATGAGATTATGCAACTCCCGAATACCGAAGGAACACCTTGTGTGCTATCAAACGTCACAACGTAATTGGGTGATTATAAAGATGCTCTATAGGTGTCTCCGAAGGTGTTTGTTGGGTTGGCATAGATCGAGATTAGGATTTGTCACCCCGAGTATCGGAGAGGTATCTCTAGGACCTCTCGGTAATGCACATCATGATAAGCCTTGTAAGCAATGTGACTAATGAGTTAGTTGCGAGATGATGCATTATGGAATGAGTAAAGAGACTTGCCGGTAACGAGATTGAACTAGGTATGAGGATACCGACGATTGAATCTCGGGCAAGTAACATACCGATGACAAAGGGAATAACGTATGTTGTCATTGCGGTTTAACCGATAAAGATCTTCATAGAATATGTAGGAGCCAATATGAGCATCCAGGTTCCGCTGTTGGTTATTGACCGGAGATATGTCTCGGTCATGTGTTCATAGTTCTCAAACCCGTAGGGTCCGCACGCTTAAGGTTTGTTAGGTAATTTCCCATCTTTGTGTGTTTGGATGATGATGACAACTCTCTGTTGGTCTAATCGTGTGATATGTGCTTCAGGTTCTCAGTGTTTAGGTATGCAACGATTAGTCATTCTCTCTGGAAGGAAAAGATCGAAGACAGTGTTTTTCTACGTGTTTATCTTGTTGGTCGTAGGAAACCCGTACTATTAAGAGGGAATCCTCATTGGAAGGCTTTTGGGGAATCATTGCACGTACACATTTCTCTCCTACACTCTTTCCTTCTGTTCCTCGTTTGAGAGAGAGTTCCCTTCTTTCCATACTGTTGTTGTGGCCCTTCCTTTCAGTGGTTGTACCGCTCACTTGAGCGGTTGTACCGCTGGCCCAATTGTACCAGCCCAACCATCGCCCTCAGGGGTGATACCCTGGGTTGGACCTCCCAGGATCTTGCCAAGCGGTTGTACCACTGAAGGAGTCCTGGATCAGGGGGTCCTCGGGCGTCCGGACTATGGTACGTGGGCCGGCCTGATGGAATGTGAAGATGCAAGACCGAAGACTCTCACCCGTGTCCGGATGGGACTCTCCTTGGCGTGGAAGGCAAGCTTGGCGTCCCAATATGAAGATTCCTTTCTCTGTAACCAACTTTGTACAACCCTAGTCCCCTCCGATGTCTATATAAACCGGAGGGCTTAGTCCGTAGAGATAGAGAATCATAATCATAGTCATACATGCTAGACTTCTATGGTTTTAGCCATTACGATCTCGTGGTAGATCAACTCTTATAACCCCCATACTCACCAATATTAATCTAACATGACGTAGGGTTTTACCTCCATCGAGAGGGCCCGAACCTGGGTAAACATTGTGTTCCATGTCTCCTGTTACCATCAACCTCAGACGCATAGTTCGGGACCCCCTACCCGAGATCCGCCGGTTTTGACACCGACATTGGTGCTTTCATTGAGAGTTCCATTGTGTCATCGTCAAGAGGTTCGATGGCCCCGTCAATCATCCACAACAACATTGCCGAGGGAGAAACCTTCCTCCCCAGACAGATCTTCGTGTTCGGCAGCTTCGTACTGCGGGCCAACTCGTTTGGCCATCTAGAGCAGATCGATAGCTACGCCCCTGGCCATCAGGTCAGATTTGGAAGCTTGAACTATGTCGCGGACATCCACGGAGACTTGATCTTCGACGGATTCGAGACCGCGGCAGTAGCCGCTCCCTGTCACCACGATGAACATGACTTAAATCTGCCATCGAACCACACCCAGGAGATAGAACCTGCAACTGCTCCGGCTCTAGATCCGGAGCAGATCACGCCATCCAAGGACGGGAGGCTCAACCCCGCCACGGAGGCTGCAGACTCAGCAGCGTTGGAGCCGCACACAGACTCAACCTCAAGTGAGATCTGTGTTAGTAGAACCTCGGACACATTTCCGGCTACAGGTTCCGAAGCATGTGCGTCGAGCACAACGAGCTTGATCGGGCATCGATCGTTGAATTCAGCTCCGCGGACATCTTCCGGCACTCTCCTTTAGGCGACGTGCTAAACTCACTAAAACACTCTCCTTAGCGGGGGACTCACAACTGAATTATATCCGGTTCGAACTGGAGGCTGATGACGGAGAATTTCGCTTCCCACCCCCTGCCCACTTAATAGCCACTGTCGAAGACTTAACTGACATGCTCGATTACGGCTCCGACAACATCGACGGTATGGACGACGATGCCGGAGAAGGAGAGGCCCAAAACCCGTCGTTTACCGGACACTGGACGAGCACTTCCTCGTATGACGTATACATGGTGGATGCACCAAAAGAGAATAGCGATGATGACAAGGAAGATCCAGTTGAGGATAAACCTCCCGAGATACAACCAAAGCGCCAGTGTCAGCGACGCTGCTCTAAGTCACGCCGCAGCAAAGACAGCAACACCGGCACAGGAGAAGATAACACTCTGGACGGTGTCAAAGACAATGAAGACCCCGTTGAGGCAACTTCCGAACAAGATGAACGGGAAGACGAGCAAGTTAGCCTTGATGAACATGCCACACATGAAGACTCGGAGGACAGTAATTATCTTCCACTCTCCGAGGATGAGGCGAGCC